AAGTATGTAGGTATGTAGGTATGTAAGTATGAAAGTATGTAGGTATGTAGGTATGTAAGCATGTAAGTATGTAAGTATGTAAGCAGGTAAGTATGTAAGTATGCATGTAAGTATGTAAATATGTATGTATGTATGTATGTATGTATACATATGTTCTGCAAGTACTTATGTATTGCAGACACACATATCACACACAGGACACAGTAGGAAGCAGTATCGTGTATGCACGCATATGATGCAAAGTAGGACGCACGGCGCCTGTGCCTGGGATTTTGTGGGCTTCAGGCTCGAGCGTGAGAAAGTAGGCTTTTTTGCTCAGGATCTTCAGGAACTTCCGGGCTTCGGGGCTTCAGAAGCCTCAGGTCGAGGGACCGAGGACAGTAAGAGTGTAGATAAAGCTTCGGAGGAGGCATAAGTCGCCCCCGTGCGAGTATGCAGGTGACTGCTTTCCGTTAGGCTTAAGCAACCGACAAGGAAATCGAACCCTGCTGCATGTCTCCAGCTGCATCAGATGCAAACACGCAGCCGGGCACTGAACCCAAAAGCATAAATTCCGACACCAACCAACCTGAACCCCGAGCCGAAATCAAATCCTGAACCGACAACATCCACAATGTTCGAAACCCCTTCCAGCCTGTCTCCTGCCCTTTGTGGCCTGGGGCTCGGGTTAGGTTGAGACTGAACTACGTTCAGTTGCTTTTGCCGCGGTCACAGAGTGTAACGGTAGTCGTGTGGGTGCACGCCTGCACACTGCTTTTAAATTACGGCCGACTCAAAACCCAAAGGGACCCACTATGTTGCACGGAACACGTTTTGGCATTGCCAGCAGCATTGTGGTGCATGAACTTGCTTCAGCGTGCGAAGTTGCAAGAGTGACTCTAGTGTTACAACAATGGCCGCACACATAATGACATCCAAAGCTCTACACACGAACTAGCACACTCTCAAGCACCCAAACATGCATGCACTTGAACGGACATCTCTCCTTCTTCCACCAGCCATTCCTGCTGTCCCTCTCACTCTGTCACTACTCTCGCAGTCCACCCTACCACCCACCCACAAACACACACACACACACCCTCGCTGCACTTCACTTCACTTCACTTCACTTCATTTCACTTCACTCCACTTCACTCCGGGGTTCAGGGAGCCGGTCAAGCTCCCCGCACCGAAAGGTGCGCCCAAGCCGGTCACCAAGCCAGTTACAAGATAGACACACCCTCGCTCGCTCGCTCGCTTGCTCGATCGCTTTGTCTTCTTCTTCCTTCGGGTTAGAGGGGCCCCTCGGCCCTTAGGGCCCCCCCAGTGTTTGCGGGGAATTGGAGGCGAGTCGGCAGAAACCAGAACAACTCCACGTACCACTCCGCCCGTGAAAACCCCACGTACCAAAGAGTGTTGACTCCAAAGAAACATCGCTACCCATCAACTAGGAGTGCATCTGTACGTGGTTTTGTCCCCCTTAATCAAGGAATGCATGGACACCATTCGGATAAAAACTCGAGGGCCCCGGAAATCTGGACTAGAACCAAGGACGAACCTCAATCTCTCCATGCATACACCCATGCCCGGACACATACATACATAGATACATAGATTGACATAGACACATACACAGATACACAGATACAGAGATACATACATAGATACATAGATACATAGATACATAGATAGATACATAGATACATAGATACATAAATACATAGATACATAGATACATAGATACATACATACATACATAAATAAATGTATACATACATGTTACATGCATGAAGCCTTCTGCCTACCCAGGCATTGATGGCGCGCGCCCGCCCGCCGCGATCCACTTTTTCGATGGCCCACGCACGCAGAAGAGAGGCCAAGGACGTTTAGGCTTCGGATTTCGGTGGCGTGGGTGCTTTCTTCGCAGCAGGTGCCGGCAGTACAGGATTCTGCACAAAGCTCTGGGCATTGACAACGCTCATGATCTTCTGCGATGCCTCTGGCCCCATTTGCAGCCAAGCCTTGCAGGCCACTCAGAGTTCATATGCTCAGAACTTGTATTTGGGCCTATCTTAGCATCTTTCTCATCATAACAAGCATGGTTACGACGGTTATGAATATCGCTATCCATTTTTCGACTGCATGCTAGTGACTGCAAGTGCCTCTTACGAACATGCAGCTGGAGGCCAACTGCAAAAGAAGCCTGGACAAACAACGCCAGTAGTGCGTGTATGTTTGTGGTCTTGAGCTTACGTTCTGCGGCAAAGCTATGACCGCCGGAGAGCTCTTCGGTGACGTCAGCGATGTGGTGGGACTGGGTCTTGGGCGGATGGGCGGAACATTAAGACCGACCAATGAGCAGGAGCACAGCACGACAGCATGATGTATGGAAGCTGCTGGACACAACAGTTGGAATCCCAGTAGGCAATGTATGTCATCATGACGAACCAGAAAGGCACATGGCTACAGTTTCGACACCGTCTAGGTCCGTAGTCCATAGTATGCGCCTGGTGACAAAAAACCAGCTACATAAATTATGAACGCCATGTGCGAATATCATTTTGAAGTCTTTGGTGCACCATAGAATACTTACAGGACCAGTGTATGTGGCCTGGCCTGCGCAGCTCGCGCGGCGGCTTTCAGCACCGGCTTGAGCAGCTCCTCCTCGTTCTCCGTGAAAGAACCTGTGACGAATTCCTTGGAGTTCTTGCCACCAATGCCCACGCGAAGTCGATGGTACGCTTGCTTGCAAGGAAATGTTGCTTCGATTCCCTCTAAGCCTTTGTGACCTCCACTGGAGCCTTTCTCACGGAAGCGGATCGTCCCCAAAGGCAGCCAGCAATCATCCACGACAGCCAGAAAGGGAGCTGCCAACTGGTTTAGGGAGTCCAGTGCTGCATGCAACTGAGGGCCACTGTCATTTATAGGCCGTTGAGGTTGAAGAACGAGTGCCCGGGTCTCACCGACCTTCAGCCACTGGGCGCCTTGAAGGTCCGGGCAATCGGACTCTACCTGCTCCAGGGCCGCGGCCTCTTCCTCAAGAAGGGCTGACACGACCCGAGCCCCCAAGCTGTGCCGTTCCCGTCGCCCACAGCCCCCGGGGTTCCCCAGGCCGAGCAGGGCCAAGACACGAGGCTCACTGTCACCAGAGGTGCGGGCCTTCTTCCTGGGAGGCTCTTCGTCAACCATGCTGGTCTATGTCAGGCACACCGCATCCTATCCTTGACCTGAGCCGTGTTACAAATCCATGTCACAGTTCCAGAACTGCACGACGCGACTGGCAGCCAGCGAAGGAAGTCTGTGCAGAGGAATGATGGGATTTTGCCTTCAACAGGCCTTATAAGCAGAAACGTCGACAACATGGATGCCTAACTTATCTCCACAACTTTCTCAAGTTCATGCAGTCTCTGCCGCCCCCTCTATCCGCCGTACCCCTTCGCAAAGCTGCAGCAATGCAGGCTTCGCTGGCCCGCGGCATCGAGCAGGTGCCAGGGTAAACTGTGCAGACACTATAAACGCAGGCGGTGCACTGCATCAGAGTGAACCATCACAAAGGGTTCAGCTCCGGCATCGCTTTTTTGACTTCAGTGAACGACTTCGAGTTACGGGTGTCGGAATCAGGATTCGTTGGTGTAAGATTTAGGGTAGGGAGGGTTCCACAGTCCGACCTGCGTCTCATGGTCAAGGTTCGCTCTTGAACAAACCCCAAGAGGTGCATAAACAAAGCTCAGAGCCACACACGACATTGGCCGGACGCTCCAGCCATGCAAGCAGTACAGCCTGCAGACATGTTTGGTGCTGTTGTGATGAAATGCCGTGTGCTAGAAAAACGACCATGGTCATACTCCGAACTCTTGTCATTTCATTGGGTATTGTCTTCTGTCTCTGGTACAACTCCCACCCTGACGCTTGTGGAACGTGGTGGCAGTGGTCATGAGTATGGTCGTGGTGATGAGCAGAGAGAAGATGACCATGATGATGACGCTGATGATTATGCTGATGGATGGTGACTAGCTTTAGACTTCAGCTATACCATGGGAGGACTTGCGCTTGCTGATGGTGATGACGATGGTGGTCGTGCTGCCGGTGATACCAGATGATGATGATGATGATGATGCTAGCTGCAATGCTGCTGTTGGACTGTGGGCAGCTGGCTGTCAGTTACTGAGTTACGGGCGCTTATGATTATGTAAAGATGCTGATGATGATGATGATGAGGCTGTTGGTGATGATAATGATCATCACGATGACGATGTCATGATGATGACGGTGATGATGAGGACGATGTCATGATGGTGATGGTGATGAAGAGGCTGATGATGACGGTGATGATGATGATGATGATGATAATGATCGTGGTGGACATGATGATTATGATTATGACGGCGGCAGTGACCATCATAGTGATGCTACCTTTTCTGAACAATTAAATTAAGGCATGAACCATGAATCGCTAGTCTTGATATTTCATCATAATTGCAATTGCCATCGCTGCAGCTGCTGCTAAGACTACCAGAAGGGAACGATGCTGCTGCCCTTCCTTACTCCTCCTGCGGCGACGGCAACGACAGCTCCTACTACGTGAGCCATGGCACTGCACAAACATTTTGACAATAGACCACGCTATGACTTCTGCTGATACCTTCTACGAAAACTACCACTATGGTTACTGTTTCATCTTGTCACGATTAAGTACCGTTGGTTTTCTTATGGCGACCATTGCAACTCTATCTGGGGCTGCAAACTTTCGAAGCACCGGTCAACCTTGGAACTGTCTCATGCCGGAAACTTGCGGAACCGGAATGGCTGAACTTGTCACGCGCACAGTAGCGCGTAGGGCTCTGGGGCTTAGATTTTGCTCAACATGAAATCAGCAGCTTCAGGCATACTCCCACTCCCTGACACACGGCTCAATGCAGTAACTATGCGCCTCCGTCCAGGTGACCCTGAACTCCTGAACGGGATCGATCTTGGGCAGTCTCTGAATGACCTAGATAATGCCCTTTTCGCAGGCATGGCGTTCACCGTTCACACAAATTGCGATACGGCGTAGTTGTAAATGTTAGTGGTTTTACGTGCAACTACTCACATGGCCATTTCGTTAGTGGATACTTTGCATGGAAGCAGAAGCCCATCTATAAGCTGTTGAGGAATTGCCGGAACAGAGGATGTGGATGAGGCAGATTGTTTGCAAGGTTGCAACTTGAGGGAAGGCTACGTGCTAAGACAGCCTTGCAATTCAAAGACATGCTTAGCATCTTGGTTAAAGGTTCAGGACTCAGATGGACTCGTATGCCAGTGTGAACACTGAAGATTCCTTAGGGGAGAGCTTGTCCAGTGCAAGGCCCCAGAAGTGCTGGGCCCGTTCGAGCAAAAGCTCCCAAGCGTCGCTGCTTTTACTTAAGTGACCCTCTTTCATGCGTTTCTTCCGGTGCTCATTACTAGCTGCCATTTCGGCGAAGTGAGTAATACCTTTTTTCAGTTTCAGCTGAGAAGAGGATATCAAGAGGCCGGAGAAAACTCATTGTAGCAGGCCTCAAGCTGGTGGATCATGGAAGAGTCTTCAGAATGAAGCATTTTAATTGTGGTAGCTGTTTTGGAGTGATCGGGTTTTGGGTTTCCAGATTTTGGGGCCCCTGAACCCTGCCACGGTACTACTGTTGTACTACGACGGTACTACTACTGTCCCACTACTGTATTTCTAATGTGCTGCTACTGTATTACTACTGTGATACTACCGTATTACCATTGTACTTCTGCTGTACTACTACTGTGTTACTACTGTTCTTCTATACTGCTGCTGTGCCCACCCATTCTGAAGCGCCCTCTACAGGACCAGCACGTACAAACCCCACATCCTTCAAAAGAGCTTATCTCCCTCTGCAGCCTCCACCCCGCGGCCCCGGCCCCGGGTACTCCGCGAAAGAATGCGGCAGCACTCTGATCAGCCAGCCGAGAAATGGTTGGCGCGGGGAGCCCACTAAACACAGCACCACATTCATTCCCAAGGCCTAAACCGCGACACCCACAGTCATAAAGAACATCCGGGAAATACACTCAGGTTAGACCCAACAAACCCAGACTCCCTCCCCGTTAGGATGCTGACCAGTAAGGATTTCAGCACTTGATCTCAGGTACCGTGTTGACTTTACAAGACAAAGGCAGGTACGGTACATTCAAAACGAGACAGAGAGCGAGAGAGAGACAGAGAGAGAGAGAGAGAGAGAAGCAAAGAAAGAGACAAAAACAGTAGCAAGAACAGGAACGGGCAAGCATTGTACTCGTCATAGTAGGTGTGAAGGAGAACAAGCCGGCGCCAGCACGTATGTCTTCGTTCTGGCATCCGGGTCCTGTTTGTGATGACACCTGGAGCTGAGGCTTACCTTCACTCACAGCCTCGCACCAAATTATGACAATAAAGCGCCCGAGGTTCATCTATAGAATAATCACCTGGATGCTCGTGTCCTGCAAACGCAAATGGCTGCCTCCCCATTCCTTCACCTGGCGTGTCAACAGCACCAGAGCTGTCATAATCGTAATCGTAACACGCATATCCTTTCGTTGTCACCGTCATAGTCAGACTGAATATGACCGAACACTGCTTCAGCACCATGATGATGATGATCATGATCGTGACCTTGCTCATGACCGTAATCATAAGCATCATCATGCTCATCATCCTTATCATCCTTGTCATCATCATCGTCATCATCGTCATCATCATCATCATCACCAGAATCATCACCATCATCATCACTATGTTATTCGTCATCATCGTCATCATATTTGGCATCCTCTTCCTCCTCCTCCTCCTCATCAGATCATCATCATCATCATCAATCTCAGCACAACCATCATCATCATCATCAACCTCAGCACAACCATCATCATCATCATCATGACCATCATGATCATCATCGGCGTCATCAACATCATGCTCATCATCACCGTCATCACCATCATCATGATCATCGTCATCGCCATAATAATCGTAATTTATCATCATCATCATCACCATCACCACCAGCATCATCATCATCTTCATGTTCATGTTCATGTTCATCCTCCTCATCATCATTTAGGTGGCTGGATTCGGCCTGTGGCAGTCTGGGCGTCATGGCTCCGGGCTTTAGTTTTGAGGGCTTCCTCAAACGGCTCGTCGTCCTCCGGCCCAACGTCTGGCTGGACAAAACTAGAAAAACACCCTCCCAACTGGAGCGTTCAATGCCGAACCCGATACTCTTTATGTTCAGCAAGATCTACACCGGCCTTTGACCCGGCCACTGTGCCAACGACTCCAAGGAGGTTGGGTCCACGCACCGTGCCGCGACCTTAGATTGACATTTGCTGAGTTCTCCGATGTTTTCTGACAACGCCTCAATTCTATCATCCTTTGAATTTTTTTGACCAAGGTGGTGTTAAGGCTTTCAAGCATTTGGGTTTATCTCAGCCTCGAGGATTGACGTTTCGCACAAGATGTTGGAAGTTCTGAAGGCCTGTGACGGAGGAAGTGCAAGTGCACACGCGGGCAGATACCCGGGATGATGACGACCTACCCCAGCGAAGCTCACAATCCTGGACAATAAGGTCGGCCATCGAAGTACAGCAAATAGCGGAAAGGGACGGTACCTCACCTAACGCAGCTCCTGCGTTCCGACAGAGAAGATGCAAGTGCCTTTGCCTGTCCCTCACGACATGGAACTTCGAGCTGCGTCAAAGCGCCTCGTACATAGCCCCTGTGCGAAACATACCGACTTGGATTCAACTCCAATTGTAAGGATTGTTCAGGATCTGCCGCAGAGTCACGTGTTACTTCCAGCAACGGAGAGCTGACTGTGTAGAGTAAGCTTCCGAGTATATATGGTCAGGCGTCTGGCGTTCCCAGCCCCCCCCCCCCATGGGTATGGTGGGTGGGGCGGGGCGGCTGGCGTCTGAAGAGAGGGGTCGGGGCGGTTGGGTGGAGTGCTGCTGGGGGGCGGCCACGGGTCACAGAGAGGGCCGGGATCTTACGCAAGCCCCACGCAAAAGCCATAAACCCTATAACGTAGGGCCCTAACCAACCTGCACCCCAACCTTCAACCCTGAACCCCAAACTCAAAAGCTTAAGGGACTGTGCGGGGGGGAGGGGGGGGGGGTCCGCGGAGCGCCTGACCATATATGCTGTTACCTCATTGCTTACACCAGTGCCAGTGCATTCCGACTACCACACCGGCTCTTGAAGACGCATGACCAGAACCTGTCACGCTAGGATCCCGACCCTCTACCTTGAAGGTATGGCACTGTCCACCTCAAAGGAAGGGGCCATGCAGAAGTTGGAGCAACGCACTTCTCAGAGGATGCTACCCTGCTACATGCCACCGAAGGATGAGATACGGGTGCCGGGCAATGCTTCTTGAAGATGGCTTGCCTGCGGCAAAGGGCAAGGGTACACAAGACGCGTGAGAAGAAAGGAATCCCTGAGAATTCTCGGCTTGGGCTTAGAGTGTGCAGCAAAGACACCCGCGGCGAACATTGAATAGCACAGCAGGCGCTGATGGCCTAGGAAGGACGTCTCATCGAAGACTAGTGACTCACGATCGGGATACACCTGCAGTCCTCGGACCTACGAAGGCAGGAGAATTGCTGCGTGCTATGGTGGGTCGCACTATTAGCCGTCCGGCTCTTTGACAGTTGCGATATATTGCGATGACGGATACGGCAACTTCGGGCCTGTCTGACCGTCTCTGTCTACACAGTTGCTTTATTCGCCCAAAGGCGGGGGAGAGGAAGGAGGCGGCGGAGGTGGAGGTGGCGGTGGCGGCGGGATTGGAGCTGCCGAGCTCTTTGCGTCAGCGTCCATGCCGGAAGGCTACGTGCATCAAGCTGTCCCGGTACTTTGCTACCCTGCTACTTGGCAGCTAAGTCTTGGCTTCTGTTCTGAGTGTTCATGACTGGAGCTCGTCGTGACCGCGAAAGCTGGGAGGTTGAAATGAATGCATGCGGAGAGAGCCTACGACAAATTGCATGCAGTAATTGTGGCTATGGAATCAGTGGGAGACCCGCAGTACGGTCAATTGACCACCAGCCCACCTCACAGACTCAAGGTTTTGCTGGGCAACTGGGTGCTTCAGGAAAACTCGTACCACAGATAGCAGGAAAAGAGGCAAGTATCTTTTTCAGCAAGCCCTGAAGCTCAGGTGCTGCCTTCTCTGGAAGTGAAAATGGCCGCAGACCTGACCAACCACGTTGCAAAAAGGTGATGCTACATGATGCTACCCTAAGTCCTGAGCCCCTAAGCCTGCAATTGCCACACGGCACTTGTAAGACCTGGCCAGGGGATGCTGGTGACTGCGCGTCACTAGCACGCACAAGCGATGCCGTCAGAGAAGCAGCTCGTTGTCTTCCCCAGCCTTGGTTTTCTTCACGAGGCAGATGGCGTATGGGTCAAGCTGTAGATTTGGGGTTCAGGGGATGGTTGGAACAGCTGGCCGGCATGCTGACGCCGGCAACGGTGCACGAGCAAAAGACGCACACTGGCCTCATTTTCTCACTCGCACCTCTTTGGTTTTTACAGCAATCTTGAATTAACCGTGGACTCCCTTCGCTGACAGTACGATTGCATCTGCACGTTGAGGGGCCTGAGGGATCAAAGCGAAAATCACAGATCAATTCGAACCTACCCCCAAACTCTGAATCCTCAGCGCCATCGTCTGCTCACATCCTCTCGGGCCACCCAGATCAGAATTTATTTTCCGACTTGGGAATTTCTCGAAGTACATTGAACCAGCGGTAAGGAAACAAGCACCCCTAACTCCTCCACCACAAATCCAGAACCCTTCGGCTCACACTACATAGCGTAAGTTGAGAGATTCCCATCTGGAAGAAAACTGAGAAGCCTGGCCGCTCTGCAGCCCTGGGTTCGGAGTTTTTGTTTCTGGTTTTCGGATGGCCTCTTGTCCACGTCCGGGAAATCCTCGGGGCTGAGGATTAAGATTTGCGATGCCTTCGAGTCTGGGGCTGAGGATTTGGAAAGCGTGAAGATTTTGGATTTAGGTGTGGGGTCGGGATAAGATAATGACAATCTCGGCACTCCGTGCTTGTTGAGCACTTGTAGAGAATCAGGCGGCTGGTTGGAAAGCGAGTCGGTCTAGGCTTTGGGACTCTAGGCTCCAGGTATTAAGATCAGAGCTCAGGGTACTGGAGATTTCTCCAAGTCATATGAGACGCTGATGTGTAACAACTCTACTTTGGGGGCCTGATTCTCCGGGTGCAACGCCAAAGGCGGAAAGCCTTGGTCCTGCTACGGGCCAAGCACGGAGCTGCAAGCGTTCCCTTAAGGAACTCGTGACTTGCAAGTGCATCTTGTGAAAGACTTGCTAAATTTCGGCACATCCCACATCACGTTTCCATCCACGTCCCGCTGGGATCAAGCAAACTTCAAATCAGCTCATGGCACTGTTGGTCCGAGGTTTGCCAGACCCGCCTAGAGGAGTCATCACGTCGTCATCTTGACTCCGCTGATGACATGCTCGCCTTTGTAGTGTGCGGCGCCTATCAAAGCCACAATGAGGTCGCAGTGTTGATGACCGGCCTCGAGCCGTTCAAGCCATCTTCTAGCTGACGCATAAAAAAGGAATCCACGCTGGGGTTCGTTTGCACGAAGCTGATCAACTTGCTGCATCTCATCTTGGACATTATCTTCTCCATATTTCGTTGCATGGCGCCCGCCAGGCGCGGACTGCCCGAGTCCGGTGTTGAGACCAGGAGCCGCTGGTGGATCAACTGCAGGACCGGGAAGAGTGTCTCAAAATGGTTGGCTTCTTTGGCACGCAGTGACAGTTGCGTGAGAAGCATATCGAGAAGCTCGTGCTCACCTGCAATCACAAGATGTTCGCATGGCAAGCATGGCGGCGTGTGTACTACAAGAGCCACGGTGCAACTTACCTTCCTAAAGCTTTCTGCATCCCAGGTTCCCATCGATCTTACAGCTTCACGCTGCTTCTTGTCGGGCTTCACTCGGCTTTGTTGACCTGGTGACAAATGTAGCAAAACTAGTTGTAGTATAGGTACAGTAGTGGCAGCAATAGCAGTAGTCTACTAAATGGGCGTGGGGTGTGCGGGCGCGGTTATCAGGTGTGGGCGCAGGGATTTACAATTCATAGGGAGCGGATTTAGCACTCAGGATGATGAGAACGATGGTCGGTTACGACTCCGGTAGCAGTGATGATGCCTCCAGTAACAGCGATGATGCATTTCAGGCTCGCAGGTGACACGTGAGCCCCCGGCTCCGGCCGTAGCAGTAATCGGTAATGGTAGGAGCAGTAGTAGTAGTAGTCGTCGTCGTCGTAGTAGTAGTAGTAGGAGTAATAGTAGGAGGAGTAGGAGTAGGAGTAGGAGTAGGAGTAGGAGTAGGAGTAGGAGTAGGAGTAGGAGTAGGAGTAGGAGGAGTAGTAGTAGTAGTAGTAGTCGTAGAAGTAGTAGTATAGTAGCAGTGGTCGTGGTCGTGGTGGTGGTGGTGGTGGTGGTAGTGGTAGTGGTAGTGGTAGTGGTCGTGGCGGTGGCGGTGGTGGTGGTGGTGGTGGTGGTAGTAGTAGTAGTTGTTGTTGTTGTTGCTGTTGCTGTTGCTGTTGTTGTCGCTGTTGTTGTTGTCGTTGTCGTCTCGTCGTCGTAGTAACCGGGCAG